GCGGCAGACCTCTCCTGACCCGCCCGCTGCTCCCCTCAGCAGTGTGCTTCGTCGATCTGCCTGTTCTGCTCCCCACTCTGTCTCCAGTGAAGCCTCTCACTGCCCTGAGCCTCTGGCCTGTATCCCAATTCTGTATGCACAAATAAATAAATCTTTAAAAAAAAAAAAAAGATTCTATTTATTTATGTATACAGAACTGGGGTACAGGCCAGAGGTGCAGAGGTGGTAAGAGGATTCACCAGAGGCAACTGGGAAAAGGACAGAGAAGAAGTACACTGCTGAGGGGAGCAGGGGGTGAGCTAAGAGAGGTCTACTGAGTTTTAAGTCATCTTAATTCAGGAAGAAAAAGAAGTTATTTTAACCATTAAAGACATTTATCAGTAATAAACTGAAAACAGCCTTGTACAGAATCATACTATCCTTCATATTCATATAACCAGGCCATGGTCTAGAAAAAAGCATGTTGCATAGATGACTTCCTTGTATTTTCATTAAAACTATAACCCATTTGGATATGTTAAAAGGGCATATGGTTTTATATCAAATTTTCTTTCAATAATTTAAATAAAAATTCACAATTTTTTAAAAGGTTAGAAAGATCAGAAAACCAAGTATATACTTAGTGCCTATTTGGGGGCTAAAGAGAATTAATGTTTTTATTTCTCAAAAGTAAGATTGAAAATTTATATACCACTGACCTTTGTACTTAGGCTGAATACTTTATCATTCACTGGGAAGTTTTACCACAATTTGAACACTTTTGCTCCCCTCCACCTTCTTATCCTCTTGAGCAAGTTGTTATTTTTTAATCACAGAGAATTGTACTACATCCTACCCAAATCCTTTGGTAATACCTTATACCCTTTCCTTTCTCATAGTGGGTCTTTCACCAAAACCTGGAGATTTTACCTCCTACAAGGCTACTGATTTATCCACTCTGACAGTCTTTCATGGTAGTATGTCCAGGCCCTAAAAATAACTGAATAAATGATTAAATGAATGCCATTCAGAAAGCCAACAAAGGAATAGCCCAAAGGGCAGAATGGCCCTGCATTTTTATCCTAGTTGTCAGTCTAACTAAATGACATTGGCAAGTCCTTTATACCTACTGTCAGTTTCCTAACCAGCTCAATGGCCTTAATACTTAGGGTTGTGCAAATGAAATGATGCTATCTAGTTAGTGGCAACTACAACTATAGTTTTTTGGAAGATGCTATATTTTTAAAAGAAGAAGAAACCTAATTTAAGATGAAGTAGAATGGGGTAAGGAAAAGATATTTTGTAGACACATTCACACTGGATACTGTTAAGAAGAGATATTCAACAAGGATGCTAAGTCATGTGCACATTTTATGGAGACTTGGGAAGCTGAAAGTAAGGCCAAGACTGAGGGAAATGTCATGTAAGAACTCAGCAGGAATATAAGCCAATATTTAAGCTCATAGAAAATCTTGTAGAGATGCTGTATCTATATTTAAATCCCTAAGTAAAAAATGGCATCTACCATAAACATATTTTAGGAATTGCCTTTCTGAAACACAGCAAAGAAATCTAAGGTCAACAGGGGGGAAAAAAGTCATAATGGGCCCTCCCTGATGGCACAACACATTAAAGCACAGCACTATGAAGCTATGGCAGCCACTGCAACCCAAGTTCGATCCCCAGTCAGGGAGGTGACCCACATGGCATGTCAGACCTCTCCTGCCTTTCCGCTGCTCTCCTCAGCTGTGTGTTTCAGTCAATCTGCCTATTCTGCTCCCCACTCTCTCTCTCTTTGGTGAATCTTCTCATCCCCCACATCTTTAGCTTGTACCCCAGTTCTGTAAGGATAAATAAATAAATCTTAAAAAAAAAAAAGTAGTAATGAAATAGTACATACCAGAGACATTTTAAGGGGGTGGAGTAGGAAATGGTATAAAATGTGGTTGGAGGGGAAAGTGCATGGGACTATGGTGATGGCACACGGGTAAATTGGTGATGGGAAATCCATGGGGATTGCAGGTGAGATGGGAAAAGGCACAAAATGATATAAAAATAAATTATTATAATAATAATAAAGAGAAATAAAATTAAAAAAGAAATCTAACATCAAAAGAGGTATCATAGTTTTGCCTTATTGAAGTTGCAAATATTTTTATATAAAAGGATTAGTTTTTTCCTGATAATCCCTTTTGTGGCTAGAACAAAATAACTGTAATTATTAAAAGTAAATTATTAAAATTAGAATTAAAAATAACTTCAACTAAGTAAGGCTGATGAATTGTATCATGTCAATGTCCTGATGCTATACCGAGGAAACTCAAGACATTACAATTAGGAGAACTTGGGTAAAATGTGATAGCTATATATTTCTTTCAACTGCATAAAAATCAACAATTATCTCAAGATAAAAAACATTTTACAATTATTTCACATTGAAAATAAAAATAGTTTTTAAACAAATTTCTCAATATAAAAAGTTTAGTGCTACAATAAAGTAATTTAACTTTTGGAATCTCCAAAAGTATATCACAAACAACAATTCACAATTCACTCTTGGAAAGTCTAGTTAATATAATTATTTTGCACTGCATTCTTAACCAGGATTTAGGATAGAAGAAATTATGCTATTGAATCATAGGACAAAATACAATTACCCTATTCCCGGATAACATCAGTTAAGACAATAAAACTTGGCTACTAAAATTTTTAAAGCAGCAAAAAAAAAAAGTTTGTGGCCCTCCCTGGTGGCGCAGTGGGTTAAAGCACTGCACTAAGAAGCTAGAGCCACTTCCGCATGAGTTCGATTCCCGCCTGCCCCGGAGGTGACCACATGGTGCGGCAGACCTCTCCTGACCCGCCCGCTGCTCCCCTCAGCAGTGTACTTCGTCCATCTGCCTGTTCTGTTCCCCGCTCTGTCTCTGGTGAATCCTCTCACCTTCCGCGTCTCTGGCCTGTACCCCAACTCTGTATAAATAAATAAGTAAATCTTTAAAAAAAAAAAAAAAAAAAGTTTGTAATACCTATAATGAGGGAAATTTCTGGAAAGAAAATTAGATGTACTTTACCAGGATATCTGAGGTTTAGTATAGTTGTCCACATGATCTAATGAAGCTGGTCCATAGAGGACACTGAGAAATAGGGCTCTTATAAGAATTAAGAAATACGCCCCTAAGAAGATGCAATATATAGGCTAAATAGACAGTATTTTATTTTTTCAATAGTACTTATAGATTTAGATAGCGCTTGATATATACACTACATTTTCACCAAATGTTTATGAAATCAATGTGCTCTTTAATGACTATCATTTTTTTTGGTCTTGTCCTTATCTAGTAAGTTGTTGGGGAGATTATAATCAAGAAGAAGAAGGGACCTTTGTGGAGGTCTGAGTATTAAATTTTGACTTCAAAAGGTCTGTGCACACATTTAATAAGCTAAGTAGTCTACAGATAGCACCTTACTAACCCCTAAAATAGGACATTTATGACCAAATTATGCACATTTTATCAAAAAAAATTATTTACTTTGTCTTAATAACTCTCTTCATCTTTCTATGTCTGTTTACTTTATTAAGGTGAATCCTGTACTTACTAACATGACCAAATACCTGCTCAAATAGCAACAGCCTAATCAGGAAATCTATTAAAGTAGACATGAGTAAATTTTTTTGCTGTCATTATTATATGCATGTACAATTTAAATTCATAATGGGGATATATTCTGAGAAAAGCATTGTTAGGTGAGTCCTTTCTGTGAATTCAAGACTAGCAGTGAATTTTGTATTCTACAAGACAACAATGAATAAAACAACACAACATTAAATCATGCACAAGGAAAAATGATGCGATCAAGAGAAACAGTAAACATGAGATTAAACACTCCCAAGTAGTTATGGCTGTGATATCACTAGACAACAGGAATATTGAGAACACCATAGCATATGCATATGCTGACTGAAACATTATTGTGATTGTAATGTCAAAGAAAATTACCAAATTTTAAACATTAACCTTATATAGATCAACAAATTCTTATACCTGTTACTTACAGATATTTTGTTATTTTCCAGTGTTGCTTCATTATTAAAAGTGCCATTTGTTTGAATATCCAATCTTGGTCTTTTTCTAATAGTGGCTTTTTCCTCTTGTTTTGGAACAGTCACTTGAACTTCTAATTCTGGTTTCATGTTCTTGAATAATTCTTCTATCACCTCATCCTCTAAGACTAAGTCATCCATGTCTTTTCTTTTTCCTGATCTTAGATTTTCTGTAGAAAGAGATTTACTGGCAAAATTTTTTGCAGAGGATTCAACATCTATCTCTGTAAATAAGTTATCTGAATTTACGTCCACTGGCTCATCCTGATAGAAATGTGGCTCCTTATTTTTCCATACTGAGGGTGTTACAGGTTGTGTTTGTTCTAACAGAGAACAAGACATTTCTATTCTTGCTGATTTAGATGAGTTTTTTTGACTTTCATCTTCCCTTTCCCTTAGATTTTAAAAAAGGAGAAAACAAAGAAATTAAACATAGATAAACTGTTCGATTAGACAATATCCACCTTTCTCACATTTAATTAGCAATATTCTTGATTTTATTAATAAATAATATCATTGGTAATCAACATGTAAGCATTTGAAAACAGTAATTTTTTTTCAGTTTTTATTTCAAATTTATTAAGGTATACTTACAATGAAATGTAGACTTTAAATATGATAACAGTAAATAATATTTATACACTCTACTGTTTTGAAAGTACCAATCAACTCTGTGATTAAAACAATATGGCAGTTGCTATCTTTTTGGTAGAAGTAGCAACAGCTGCTAAAGTAATAGCTGATACAGTAATTTATGTAAGAAAAGGTTAAAAAAGCCACAGACTTGCTGCCAAAATATAAGACTTGTTGCTTATATTGAGAATGCTTAAATTGCTTATATTGAGATGAGAACTAAATTTAGGAAAATAAGAGTAGTTAAACCCAAAATACAGTAGAGACTATATACTACAAGCAATGTAAGAATATGGGACTAACAGTTTTCTTTTTTTTCTTATACATATAATAGGGACTAACAGTTTTCTATGTACTACTGTATCATTCATTCAGCAAGTACTGAATATTCATTTGAATAATACTATGATCCAAAGAGGACACAAAACTGGGTATCTGATTTCCAGCAATTTACTGGATTCATGGTGAATGGAAATAGCCAAGGTCATATTTTTATAATAATAATTATGATCATCACTATCTAATACCATCCTATCAAGGGATTCTGTAATAACTTCAGAGTTTGAAACAGCTGGCAACACAGTTGAAAATGGAGAGATTAATAGGATACTAAATAAAAAAAAAACACACAACAAAACTTTTATTTTGGAGAGGCAGAGGAAATTAGTCAAAGATTATAACAAAGTACTAGGAAAAAAATAATAACCATTCAGTGAGAGAGGAGAAAAAGTTTTAAAGTTCATTATTTGGATAGAAATGGAAAACAGAAGTGAAAAACAGAAAAAAAAGCATAAAGAAGGTAGGGTCCAATATAGAGATCACTGCAATAAAATCATGAAACCCTGAAGGTAGAATACACACTACATAAAAGGTAGGAAGGTGGAGGAAAAGAAGTTAGAGGGGCAAAAGAAACAGGGTAAACCACTATCACAAAAGTTGGAAGAAATCATGAGGAGGAGAAAAGCTCAGGTATGCGACCAAAAGGCACTAGATTTGGCAAATGTGTCAATGATTAATTTTAATTATGTCATTTGCAGATGAAATATTGATAGTTAAGACAGTTCATGAAGAAATGGAAACAATAACAACAATCCCATTTTGAGAAATTTGACAGTGACTGTAGAAAACAAAAAGGCTGAGGAAGACACCAAGTCAAGGGAAGACTTTGATAAAAGTCTTTCCCTAAAAGTAGGACAGAGGTTTTGAGTACAAAAGAAAGGAGCTAGGAGAGATATTAAAGGTGCTAGAAATTGAAACAATAATTGATGGCACATGGTCTAGACGAAGTAAGAGTTAACCTGAGACACAGGGCAGACTGAAAGAACTTAGATGTGGAAAAGTTCTTTCAGAGAAGTGTGGTAAATCAAAGAACAGATAAGCTAAGATACAGAAGAAAAAAGGTGAGAGGAAAATCTATTTTATGTCTTCAGTGAAGGTGGAAGTTTGGCTACTTAATAGGTAATGAGGCCAAAGGGCCATGGATTTTCAGATACAGAGAGTAATTATTAAAAATATACCTTTTTTTGGTTGATGGCTGAAAGTAGTTTTTGATTGAGTTGGTCTGCTGACATTGAGAAGCCCGGCCATGACTTTTATTTCCACCTGATAATTTAGTGGGTGAAAGCTGATAATCAGGAACTTTCTTCCTAAGCACAGAATTTGATATTACATTATTATTACTGGAGCCTATTTTGGGAGGTTCCTTCACAATGGACGTTTCTTGGGAAAGCAATCTGGATTTTTGTCCCATTTTGGTAATTTTGATTTCTTTTGGTCTTTCACTCAAATCCATACTGTAGAAGAAAGCAGGTAAATAATCAGTTTATAATACTTTCAGCTGGAAAGATAGTTTCAATGGATATATTCATATTGCCTTAAAACAAAATTAACTTTAAGATAATAATTAAGTGAATATATTTTACTATTGCAAAAATGTAGCGCCTGTGTAATCAAAGCTCCCTGAAGATGGATGGTTAGATGAAAATGATGATATCTTTCTCTTCTTTACTGTCTGTAGCACGTCAGGCCTACTCTACTACAGAACTAACTCCCACACACATGGGATATCAAGTTAGCATCCTAGTATGAAAACAAGTTGGTGAAAACTCTAGGTCATTCCTGATGTCTTAAAATTACTTCTATGCAAAAAGATAAGTAAAAAATGAAAAATCAGAAAGAGTATATACACCTATCTTTCTAGTATCATATAATAGGAAATTGTTTTAGAAGAATTGATAAGCTTATACTCCAGCCACAAGTATCTATATTACAAAAACAAAAACAAACAAACAAAAAAACCCCCTGTATCACTAGAAAAATACATTTATTTTATTTTTTAAAGATGTACGTATTTATGCATACAGAACTGGAGTATTGGTAAGAGGTATGGGGGATGAGAGGATTCAACAGAGACACAGTGGAGAGCAGAACAGGCAGATGTACTGAAATACACTGCTGAGGGTAGTAGTGGGCATGTCAGAAGAGGTCTGCCACGCCATGTGGTCACCTCCGGGGTGGGGACTGAAATCATGATGCTGTGGCTGTGGATAGCTTGATAGTGCTGTGCTTTAACCCAATGCACCACCACAGAGGGCCCACCAAAAAATATTTGTCTTAAACAGAGTTCTACAATATATGGTTGAACGTATACTGCTTTTGTTATTTTGTTACACACAAAAAATAAAACTGTAGTTCAAATGATTTTTAAAACATTAATTTTCTTTTTAAAAAGCTGTATCTGGGGCCCTCCCTGGTGGCGGAGTGGGTTAAGGCACAGCACAAAGAAGTTTAAACTACTTCCTCATGAGTTCGATCCCTGCCTGCCCCGGAGGTGACCACATGGCACAGCAGACTTCTCCTAACCGCCCGCTGCTCCCCTCAGCAGTGTAGTTCGTCCATCTGCCTGCTCTGCTCCCCACTCTGTCCCTGATGAATCCTCTCACTCTCCACATCTCTGACCTGTACCCCTGTTCTGTACGAATAAATAAATAAATTTTTAAAAAAGCTGTATCTGAGCCCTCCCTGGTGGCACAATGGGTTAGAAAGCACAGCACTTATGAAGCAAGCCCCATTTGCTTTGGCACAAGTTTGATCCTGGCCAGGGAGGTGACCCACATGGCACAGCAGACCTCTCCTGTTTCCCACTGTTCCCCTCAGCAATGCATTTCATTAAATCTGCCTGTTCGGCACCTGACTCTGTCTCTGGTGAATCCCCTCATTGCTCCTGAACTTATGGCCTGTACTCCAGTTCTGTATTCATACATAAATAAATCTAAAAAAAAAAGTTGCATCAGGCATAAACATGCACATAGGAAAAATGTACATATGGTCTAACATAGTGACATTATAAACAACTTTTAATATGAACAGTTTGTTATGGAATATTTAAAATAAAATATACAGTCTTAAATGAAAAATAGCATAAAACACAAAAGAGATATCCTTGGTCTCCAATAAAACCTAAATCAAAACCAGAAATTGCACAAGTAGTGAATCACAAAAGTGAATTTCCATGAATAAATATTTACTAGTTAGATATCCAAGTAGACACATATAAAAGTGTTTCCAAAGTTATAGTGTGATTCAAATACAGGCAACACCAACAAACTCTCTGGTCCTTAACAGAACATTTGCTGACCCTTGCCCTAAAATTTTGTTTTCCTTGTAATTATCTCATGTTCTAACTCTAAAGATTACCCAATAAAGGTATGATTTTACTTTTCAAATATACTATTTATTGATCGAATAACAGTTTACTATCAAACTACTGTTTCTACCAAGTGAGAAATATAGTTTGTTTACCATGTATCTGCTTGCTCTGATTCTGTATCAGGTACATATGTTGTAATATTCAATGGGGCACTTGGCATTAATTTCTCACTGACTAACAAGTCTTGGGAAATGCTTGGACCTGTAGTTGTTGTCTTCAATCCTGAAATCACACAAATGAAAAGATACTTATATAAACTAAATCATTTTGAGTAATAGCAAACCTTTCATGGTAGCACACTGAATAAAATAAACAAAATTAATATGTGCTTAAATTCTAACTCAGATTATACTTTAAATCAGCAGATCATAAAATTTCATTTCTTCCCAACAGACAGTATTATTTATTGTTCTGTCTATATCAATAAAAATCAATGTGAGTTTCATTTTTCCAAGGAATATACTGTTTGAAAGGAGGATTTATATAACCATTTAGACATAAATTTTGGACTACTACAGAGAACTGCATTTACTACTTCATCATCTTATTTACTATTTTAGCAACTTAATTTAGGTGCCACTCTTCTGACATACTTTTCTTGAACTTCCCACACTGAATTCGGTGTCCTTCATCTTAACTTCTGTACTACCCTTGACATAATCTCTATTAACTTTCAACACCCTTATCACTAGCTGTATGATCTTTGTTAAGTTAATTTAACTTTTCTATGCTTTATAGAATGTGAATACTTATAATAGTTTCCTCACAAGTTGTTCTGATATATAAATAGCACTAAGAAAAATGCTTAGAACAGAGTAAAGCACTACACAAATGTTAGCTGTTACTGTAATCACTTTGTATTGTACTTGTTTACTTGTTACTTTTCTTACAAGACCTGGAACCTCCTTGAGTACAAAGACTGACTCTTACTCATTTCTATATCTGGACACCAGAGCAATGTTTGGTACATGGTAGATATAAATAAGCTAATGAATTTAAACTGTTGGCTGAATATTTTAAAAAGCTGACATTTACTGAGAATCTAAGCTAAATCACTGTTAGGACTTCATGAACAGCACATGTTTAAAGTTTATTATTGACTCCAAATTCAGAAACTTAAAGTGACTTCTGACATTCTCTTTATATGACCTCCTTAAAAGCTAACTGCCATTTCCTTAAAAATACGCATAACGGGAGAAAAAAAAATACGCGTATCGGATCTCCCTGGTGGCGCAGCGGGTTAAAGCACTGCACTAAGAAGCTAAAGTCACTTCCACATGAGTTCGATTCCCGCCTGCCCGGAGGTGACCACATGGCGCGGCAGACCTCTCCTGACCTGCCTGCTGCTTCCCTCAGCAGTGTACTTCACTGATCTGCCTGTTCTGCTCCCCACCCTGTCTTTGGTGAAGCCTCTCACCACCCCTGAGCCTCTGGCCTGTACCCCAGTTCTGTATGCACAAATAAAAAAAAATACACATATCTATTGATATAATTCATTTTAGCTTGCACAACCTTATACGAAATTACAAAGGCATATAGAATCTAATGACTCAGAACAACTACAGTTTGTCAGCCATAAGCTTATTTACAAAGTTCAAAAGCTTAATAAATACTTGCTGAAATAAAGAAATGATATGGAGGAAGAGGGATTGTTTTAAAAACTAAATTTTGATGACAATTATAATATGAATCCTCATTCACCTAAAAAAGTAGGAATTGTTTCTTGTTCCTCCACAAAAATGTTCTGCCGGGTCTAGGTTCAAATTATATCCTGTTCTCTTTTCTGGCTCAAGGCACTAGGCTATCTCATCTGGACTTCTAAAGCAGTTTTCTGTTCTTCTCTCCACTTTCATTTAGAAGCCAGAATCCATTCTACTTGTACAGTGATCAGTTTTTTGTTCCAGGAACTCCCTGCTATCCAGATATTCCCATGGCTACCTCTCTAATCATTCAGGATGCATGAGGTGCAAGTGCATGAGTCTTTACTTTACCACCTACCTAAAACAGTCAGTTCCCCGTGACTATCACATCACATTGTTTTCAGTTTTGCTTTGTATTTGGCCCTGACTGAACTGATCAGATATGTTTGCTTGCTATTTGTCTGAACCCTGAACTTAAAAACAAACAATAATAATAGAGCTCTTATTTATCTTAATCATCAATGTGTCTTTAGATCTGAGAACAATGCTCAGTAGTGAAAATCACAAATATTTATAAATTAATAAATAACTGAGTTTTTAAAAAGATGATGATAAGAATCAGCTCTGAAGTACAGAGTAAGGTGCATATACTCTTTTCAACTTATATAATGAAGCTGCTTAAGAATTAATGTTTTCATTACCTGTACTAGGAAGGCCTTGAGGATCACAGTAATTCTCTGTTGTCATGAAAATAACTGCCAATCCAATTTCTGATTCAGGAATAGGTCTAAGACCCTGCCTATAAGGAAAAAAAATCACTTAGTATGACAAGATAGTAAAATTAACAACTTTTTAAAGGTGATGTCAAAATGAATTTATTTTTTCTATGAAGATATTACAGTTTTAGTATGGAGAGAATAGTAGTTTACTTATTGGGGCAATGTTAACTGGGAAAGTCACTGCCTTTAGTAACTCAATCATCTCATTTGTAAAATAAAGATCCAGCATAAAGGATACAGATCCAGTTCTAAAATTCTACTATTTTCAGAATAAGAAGGAAATATAACAGCCAGCTGAAGCAAGAAAATAAACTGAATAAGCAAATCTAAGATCACTAAATGAGAAAAGAGGGGAGAGTGGGAAGAAGGAAGAAAAGCACGAGAACTATATGTAACCTACAGTTACTATTATAATTTTAAGTTGTTAAACCATTTTACCAATTTACAAATGTTAGGGAATCTTATGGTAAAGTTATCTACTGTTACTCTGTAATGTCAATGACTGGTTTACATAACAAAGACAATTTAATAATGCTATATAGAAACAACAACTACAGATTAAAGAAAGTGTTACAAAACTTTTAATATTTATTATAGGGCTGTGTAAAGTGGTTGTAGTAGTTCAAAAGACATTCTCTCAATACTTAACATGTTTCATTGTATATATTGGGTTGAAATAAACAGAGCTCAACTATACATTTACAACTATAATGATTACACTAAAATAATTTTTAAACTATTGTAACTAATACTTACATTTCAGTCAGCTCAAATTGATATTTTATTATACTAGTAACTCTTTAAAACCTTAAATTTAATATACTATCAGACCTGGTTATAGATTGGCTATATAAAGTAAAAACTTTAAATATATATTTAATAACAATGTCAAACAGAAACTACATCACACTAAATAAGGAAATAACTGGAAGCATTCCTTTGAAGTCAACAATGAGACAAATGTAGCTACTGCCACTACTTCCATTCAACACTACTGAATTAAGGCAATGTATAATAAAAACAAAAACATTCCCATGCATGTACACAACTTTGGTATATAGCAGAATCCCGGACAAATGAAAAAAATCAAAATATTAGCATTAGATATTAGATACAGTGACTATCATTTTGATCTATAAGTAGAAAATGTTTTGTTCAATGTGAAAAGCACTGACAATGGAAGAAAAGGTAGTTAACAATTAGTGTAATAAAATTAAGGGTTTTCCCATAAAAAAAAAAAGGAAACTGCCATTTGAGACCATAGTGTCTTCAGAAGGAAAAACAAAAAGAGCATACATGTCCCTCATGTGGAATATAAAGAAACAAACAAAGCACATAAATAAAGGAGAAATGAAAATAGATTCTGAAAACAGAATGGCAGTTACCAGAGAGGAAGTGGATAGAAGGGGTGTGACAGAGGAGATCAACTCTTTGGTGGTAGATGCAGAATGAGGGTGGTGGGTATGGTATGAATTTTGAAACTGCTAAGGTAAGAAACTGCGTCCATGAACTTGTCAGGCAGATAAATACTCTAGGCCCTATCTACTATTTGCTGGGTGAACAGATTTCAGTCAAGAGACCGCCAACCCTGAATACTTTCGCAATACTTTTTGGCTTCAACAATGCTAAGATTATTAATAGCAATGAAGAATGTAAGAAAAAAATCTTGATTTAACTTTCACTTTCCTTCCACATTATAAACACTTACACCCCCTCCAGTTACCCATAATTGGGTATATAATAGGTACACAAATTTTATTGCCATTTTAATTGCTTTAGGCAATTTCATTTGCGTTTTTAACTTTCTCTGCTACTACATATTCTACAGGAAACCTTAAAATTACATACAAAATTGTCTACTTGCATTTATTATGAAAAATTCTTTACCTTTGGAGCATATCCATAATTGAATGAATCCATTTTTTCTGAGAGTCACTAAATAAGGTCTGTGTCTGTGAGTTTGTTATTCCTGCATCAACAACACAAGTTCCAGAAGTTGAAAAGAAACTATCATCTTCTTCATTTTCTTCTGTTATCAATTTAACATTTCCTCCTCCAAACACAATGGCTGAACTTAGCTTTTTATGCTTAAAGTGGAGAGAAAAAAAGGAATGAAACTGCCAAGATGAATTTCTTGAATACATTACACAACTTTAAGAATTTGACTTAAGAAGTAAAATAAAAGTAGATATAAAATTGAACTGGTTCTATTTCTTGAGAGGACAACCTAGACCTCCATTCAGTAGGTCTCTGACTTGCCAGGCATCTATATAGCCCTGGAACAATTACCACACAGTCTTGTAACTAGGTTTACTCTTGTGATTTTCCCATGTACAACACTACAGACGGGGCCCTCCCTGGTGGTGCAGCAGGTTAAAGCACAGCACTAAGAAGCTAAAGCCACTTCAGCATGAGTTAGATCCCCACCCCAGAGGTGACCCACATTACCCGCCTGCTGCTCCCCTCAGCAGTGTACTTCATGGATCTGCCTGTTCTGCCCCCCACCCCCGTCTCTGGTGAATCCTCTCGCCACCCCTGCACATCTGGCCTGTACCCCAGTTCTGTATGCATAAATAAATAATTCTTTAAAAAAAAATAACTACAGATGACTAATCATTTATCCTATTTTGTGATGTCTTCTTAGCACAATTTAGCTTATAATGTTACCTGTTTGGCATTTAGAAATATAAATGTTTTTCCTTTAAAGATCTGTCTTCTTTCCTGTCGTCCTGACAGATCAATATTTTTACTTCCAATAGCTGGTTCATCAATAGGAGGATAAAAACTGTAAAAATATGTAAAATTTTCTAATTATATGCTATTTTGTATCCACACAATTAAACTTGTAATTAGTACAGCTATAAAGACACTAGGAAGGCATAATTCTCAATTCCATTAAATGTTTTTATTAAAGAGTTTGATCTGGAATAAATGATTAAAAAAAAATCTAAATTCTGGCCCTCCCTGGTGGCGCAGCAGGTTAAAGCACAGCACTGAGAATCTAAAGCCGCTTCCACATGAGTTCGATTCCCGCCTGCCCCAGAGGTGACCACATGGCATGGCCATGCCCGCTGCTCCCCTCAGCAGTGTACTTCACCGATCTGCCTGTTCTGTTCCCCGCTCTGTCTGTGGTGAAGCTTCTCACCATCCCTGAACCTCTGGCCTGCACCCAAGTTCTGTATGCACAAATAAGTAAATCTTTAAAAAAAAAATCTAAATTCTTTTTTCTTGAAATATGATGATGGGTGACACAAAGAACAGCAGAACTGTTCTTTAATTTCTCATAATACATATTCAACAGATACTCATAGCAATATGTATGAATCAATGAATTACAAAAGGTTGAAAGAAAATTTTTCCTAAAGACCAAATTCTAGTAGCATCTTGTGTTTCCCTGGGTACTAATGTTCCAACTCTATATAACCTACTACTTCTAATATTTATTATAAATCTCTTTGAAGGAGCCCAAGAAATTTTAAATAACATAATTTTGTCAGTCTAGATAAAATGTCTACAGGAGATTAAAAAACAATCTCCCAGTTCTTGAACATAATGCTATGAATCATTACAACCATCTATAGAAATGGGGAAATGAACAGAGAAATTAACTCAAGAGATAATTCATCATTCCATAGCTTCAACTTTCTGTATTATCAGCTCTTTTGCCATATAAAGCTATTCTTTAATTGACCAGCCTTTTAGCTTATCTACCACCTTATGAAATAATACTAAAGTGTACTGGTAAGAAGATTCAATGTTGTCAGGATATCAGCACTTCCCAATTAGATCTATAGATTAAATGCAATGGCAATAAAAGTTCCCAGTTAGTTATCTTGTGGATACCTTCTCTAGAATGTCATACAGTTGGAATAATCTAGTATAGAAGTATATAGCTTTTCAAGAATGGCTTCTTTCACTTACTTTGTCTTTAAGTTTCTTCCATATCTTTTTATGGCTTGATATTTTATTGATTTTATTGTTGAATTAAGCACTGACTTTCAGCACTACTTTGTTTGAATGTACCACAGACTATCCATTCACCTACTGATTTGATTTTCAGTTACTTTTAAAAGCAGACAAACATCAGATATATAATATAGGCCCTAAAACACCCTGCAATGGGCAACACAGCTTATAAAGTAATTAAAAAAAAAATGTCCAAGTATCTTCCTCCTTAACTATAATTTTGATTACCTGAAAATAATACTAATACAATACAATACTAATACTAATACAATATATAAAACAGGCAGATCCTTTAGTATGGCAATTTAGAAGAGCATGCAATAAATAGATAATTATGAATCTTTCTAGATATTGCTGCATTTTCAACAAAGAAGTGCAATTAGCACTTCTTCTTCTTAAGAACCTACTATGATGCCAGGTAAGGTCCTCAAATTTTGGACAGACTAAACTTGCATTAAATATTTAAAGAACAGAAGGACAAATACTAGTTTAACTTTTCCAAAGTGACTAACATTCAGAGGCCATAAACTCCATTCTCAAGGCCATAGTGCTGCTAAAATCTGGCCTGGGACTATTTGGCTCTGGAATATGGTTGCTGCATCACATAATTCCAGGGACCCACAGGTGGATGTGTTCTTTGTATACCTTGGTCTTTCAATTTTCTTCTTAGGTGCTGGAATATTATGTAACATTTGTTTCACAGATAAAAAACAAACAGCAAAGAATATGGAGAACCTTTCAACAAACAACAACAAAAACTTTATTAAACTGAACTATAATATCCTGAACTATACAACAACAAATAAACTTCATTAAACAGGTGAATACATATATTTAAATGTAGTTTTCTTTTTAAAGAAAAGTTTTAAGTTATATATTACAAAAGGGCTGTACTACTCTGCTTTTTCAGCTGACCGCTTTACTTCATAAAGAAGTCACAATCTGTAGAAAACAAGATCCTTACATGATCAATTATAAGAAGTTACTGATTATCATATTAAATTAAAATGACTATTCTGAGATAGTCATTAAAGAGGGAATTCATCTAAATAAAATCAGTGCTATGTGTTGTTACATGTCATATTACATTGAAAATGCACGTCATACCTTTCAATCTGTGGAACTTGTTTCTTGGACTGAATTGCTTTAACAAATTCAGTAAAATATTCCGGCTTAACTATTGGACGTCCACAAATGAGTGCGCATATCGTCTAAAAAGAAAAAAAATGCAGGTGAATACATATATTTAAATGTAGTTTTCCTTTTAAAGAAAAGTTTTAAGTTATATATTACAAAAGGGCTGTACTACTCTGCTTTTTCAGCTGACCGCTTTACTTCATAAAGAAGTCACAATCTGTAGAAAACAAGATCCTTACCTGATCAATTATAAGAAGTTACTGATTATCATATTAAATTAAAAACTGCTTGAGGTGGGTAGAACAGAACAACAAAATAAAAGTCAGTTTAAAAATATACTCCAAAGGCCCTCCCTGGTGGCGCAGCGGGTTAAAGCACAGCACTGAGAATCTAAAGCTGCTTCAGCATGAGTTCGATTCCCGCCTGCCCCGGAGGTGACCACATGGTGTGGCAGACCTCTCCTGACCCGCCCGCTGCTCCCCTCAGCAGTGTACTTCGTTGATCTGCCTGTTCTGTTCCCCACTCTGTCTCTGGTGAAGCCTCTCACCCTCCGCATCTCTGGCCTGTACCCCAGTTCTGTATGCATAAATAAATAAATCTTTAAAAAAAATATATATATATATACTCCAAAAATGTTTAAAATTGTATTTTAGAATTGAAGAAACATAACATGTGCTCTATAAAAGACAAATGTCAAGAGATAAGTGGGAGAGACAACACTGCCTAACACTGCCTTTTGAACATATTTCAACTACAGGATAAAGTCTGCTCAAGAAAGTAAAGAAAGAAATAACTATCTAAAGTTGGGTAAAAGTTCAAAATGAGAGCATATTTGAAAGAAGGCCTTCAAGGAACCAGTGAATTATTCAAGGAAGCTACAAGCCTCAGAAAAGATAAGGTGACAAGGCTTGAGAACAGAAAATACTAACATCGACAGTGAAAATGAAAACAAAAACTCAACATAACTCTAAGAAATATTCCAAGTGCAATGTAAAATGTAAAGTATGCTTTTAATGGGTATTAACTAAATATGAGCATTAAGTTAGGGTTTCTCTGAAGAATGGAATCTGGAAAATACCAATTTCCATTGTGAATGAAATAACAGAATTTTTGCATAACGCAGTGATGAAATTCAACACTGGATCAAGTGAACACCAACACGTACGTTACTAGGCAAATGATTAATTGCTGTGAACCTCACTTTACTCTTCATGAACTAAAAATTGAACTGAGTATTTTTTAATTCCCCTTTTTAGTCATAATGTTCAATGATTTCTCAAATCAAAGCTAACCTATACTTGTGGAAAATTTTCCCAAAAAGCAGTAAAATGACAGGGTTCCCTTTCGGCACATGACTGACTAGTAATCAGAAATTGTGAAAAAGGGGCAATGTTTCTCAGCCTTTGTTATTGGTTCTAACTGAGCAACAGCCTTTCTCTCTATCAAATTTTTAGGTATTATATATTTGCTCTAATTTAATTAATGATATATATTTAAGGAGCTTTGTATTATTGAATAAAAGTATCTAAACAGTTGTTGCTTTTCACTATAGCTATTCATCTAAATAATCAACCTGATTAATAGGAAATGAATCACCTCCCAGTGCCATCCTTCAGTTAGCACTGGATATAACCAAATCTGATGAAGATGGAAAATCTGAAAACACACCAAAATATATCACTGTTGAAATGAGTAATAAGCATCTTCTAGTGATACACATCTACAGATCTCTAGATTGTGAAGATACTTTAGGTAATATTAAACAGAAGAATTTGAAAAGTTTTAGGCTTCAAAAAGAAATAAAAACTAAAATAGCATCAGTCATGTGATGATTTAAGAAAATAGAGGAAGAAAACTTGATGAAGAAACAAAAAAGTAGACTTTGAAAACGGGCAGCTGATTTCTAGTCATTTTACATTAGACTGAAAATACAAACAATGACTAGTAATAAACTTGGTGAAAGAATGAAATAAATCATCTTTTTAAAATGCTACAACAAAGATACAATTTTATGTGCATTGGCAGGTATGTAAAAAGTCATTCTAATCTGAACAGTTTACAAAGGTTAGGATTTGGCACATATAAATAATACAGCACACATTAATATATGGCACACACACACACATACCTAGATCTAGAGCTAGCAGTTCTGATTGTTTTAAAGTAAACTACCTTAATTTTAAATTACTTTAATGGGTAAGCTTAAATATCCAGACCTTACTTCAATATAACAAGGCATTACCTACTTTAATGGTAACTTTAACTGATATCATAACAAGGTGTGTACATTCTTCTGTCCAATTATTTACATTAAGTCCTCCAAGTTGTAATATAGCTTGACTTAAGACAGTTTTCCCAGAGACATCTAAGCAAGAAGAACACGTGACCAAAGGCTCATATTCTACTCTGTAAATGAGAATAAGTTACATAAAGTTAACTCATTATAGTCATGGATTTAGCAATTTAGATTATTTTAAACTTGAAACTCAAATCCATGGTGTTACTTTAAATTATTGTAACATTAATTTTAACTTATAAAAACGTTCATGGCATTTTTCATGGCCATTTCATGAAAAATGTTCTGTAGTTTCTTTTCTGCCCAAATTGCATGAACATTCCTGCTGGAGTCCAGCAATTTTGAATAAACAGGTCACATCTTAGGAAATCAACAGACTCACCTAGTTAGAATCAAACAAATGTAGCTCCTATCAAGATTCTTAGGACTAAGGAGCAGAAGAATTAGAGGATCTTCAATTCTTTATTCATTGATATCTTTGTTTTTTAAATTTTGGTTAGTTCGAAAGTAAAATTGCTTACTTTTAACATCAATTAAATTCTTACCTGAATTTACTTTCAAACACACCAAAAGTAACTCTGTCTCCTGTCTTTAAAGTGCGTGAAATACCAGTCTGCATTTTTTCCTCATTAACAAAGGTACCATACTTGGAATTATCTTTTATTGTCAACACAGGGATTTCATCTGATTGACTCTGGGGGAAAAAATAAAAATATTTTATAATACAGTAAATAATTTCCCAAGGGAAAGATTTCAAAAGCACATGTTGCTAAATTTTTGAATAGTCAATAAATAAGTGGTTAACTTCCCAGCACAATCAGTAATGCATTCAATTGTTTTGGTTGCCTGCCAAGACTGATCACTCAATTAGCAATTAATGGAAAATGTCTAAATTCCAGGATCAGGATCATTCCTCTTAGAAAATATAGTTTCTTTAATTTTTCTAAGTCACCAGTTGTCATTCCTTCAATTTCACACAGCGACAATGTTTGTATAGTCTGTATCCTTGTTAAGAAGCTTTTTTTTTTTAAAACACTATCAAGATCACATAATAAAAACTGGTGTTTTTATTAAATTGTAGTGTCTTGACAATTTTAATTTATCTTTAGGAATTTCAGCAGTGTTTTACTATACCTCAGTGAACATGTAAACAAAACCTGAGGATCACTTAACAGATGCAGCATTTGCTGATATGCAGTCTTTGTTCAAAATAATGACTTATTACCATTGGCACAACCCTAAGCACAGTTAACAAATGACCAAAATCAACTCAAAAGCACTAAGAGGCACTGAGAACAACCAACCAACAGCTGTATTCCTTGGTAAAATGAATCAATTTTCATTGTGATAACCTATGTTATAAGAGAAATATTTCTGTTCACAAGAATATAAAAATAAAACTCTTTAGGGCAGGAGTCATAGTGGTCTGTTCACAGTTCTATTCCCAGGTTTAATATTGAGATTGACACCCAGTAAGCAGTAAGTACTTAAGTAAGTATAAATGTTTTACTTCCTTTGGACTTGTAAATCACTAAAACAATAAAGAAATTCAAAATTTCAACATAAACAAAAACACTGATACTAAAATAAGTATTTAATCTTATTACAATAAAAGACTTAAGAAATTAAAGGTTCTATGAACACTTACATATCCTGAAAATAATCTTTATTATTTCAGACACCTTAAGATAATCTAGTGAAATATAATCAGCAACATACCGGGTTGTTTACTGGAAACTTTGCAGTTAACACAGCATGATCTCTACTGATTGATTTATCATCTTCAATTAGAATGTTACAGTTTTTTCTTCCAACTAAGTACTCAACACCAGTCAAAAGTCTGTATGGTTCTAAGAGAATTAAAAAAAAAAAAAAAAACACAGCGAACTGATAAGACACATAGATAGACATCTATACAATACAGGTATGACAAATATTGAGACAGAATATTTTATTTTGCTATTTAAACGTCTGTACTTTTTACAAATTTAACTTGTGTTTTTCTAGTAAGCCTCAATGGAAAGTACATAAGACTATCTATTAAGTTGTAAAGTATTACCGTTTTTCTGAAGTGAAAAAGAGTAGATGATCAAATAAAAAAAGTTGATGATCACCTCAATTAACTTATCAATTTAATGTCTTACCGAACAAAATCACATTGTTTGGAACTTGGTCAATGAATCTGAAAAAACTGTCAAGAAAAATCTGAATGTTGTAGATAGATAAATATGACATAAAACTATAGGTTATTAAAAAGCATAGTATCAGGTGAGGAATAGAAAAGATCAATGCAGGAAAAGCCTGGAACAAATTCAAATGTATATTTTTATATTAAAAGTAGCAGTTCAAGTTAGTGGGAGTTATTATTAATTTTTGAAAAAATACTGGAAATCATAGATCATTGGCTAGCAGGTATACTGGAGACATGATTCCATTACAGAAATGGTGGAGTCATTAGGGTAAAAAATCCATACAAGAGGAAATAACCCAGGTAAGCTTTGGCCAGATTTGGGTTATATTCTACATATCAGAGATCCTTAATCTACAGTGGACTGTTACGAAAAATGTTTGTATTTTTGTTTTTAGAGGAATGGCCCATGGTTTCCATTTGCTTTTGATTCACGACCTCACCCCAAAGATAAGAATGCAAGTCATTGATGCTAGAAGTATCTTTTTTTTCTGCAACCACTCCACAGGAAGTCAGAAAGTCACTGGCTAAAACTGTTCTTCGAAAGCAGCAGAATCCTCCTCCTTGGCTAGTTTGTTCTACCTCTGCACCCTCCCAGTCCACAGGGACACTCTGATCTTTGAGTCTTTATTTACTTATTTACCTTAACTATCCGTTTAGCACGCTTCATCTCTCACATGGTCGATTTAGCCTCTACCTAGGTCTTTCATCCCCTATCATAAAGTAAACCTCCTGGAGGGGAAGCCTCACTGAGAGGCTACGCCCTTCCATCCACAGGAACTGACAGAGCACTAGGCGACCACTTAACACGGGATAACCACGTCCCACTGCTGGAAATGCAGAAAACAAAACAAAAATGCTAGTCTCGGAAGGAAAAAATGGATAAACGCAGGGAAATAATTTCCCGTGGTTCCCACTGACCCAAGTCATCTCTGGCTCTTCACACAAATAAGCAGCGTGCTCAAGAGCGTCATCAGTTGCCGCCGGCGATGGCTTATGCTAAATTTATACTAAGCTCCCGCCCAGTGGTCCAGCCCGTGATGACTTTACTAAGTTTCTAGAAAAGTTGAAGACACAGGGTATCAAAGTAGGGCTGCACCACTGCTCTACCATTCAGGCAGCCACGCCCGCTCCAGCGCGGTCTCGCCCGCGCGGGGTCCGAAGCGGCCAGACACCCGCGGGCCCACCCAACGCCCCAACGCCGCCGCCACCCGCGCCAGGAGGGTCGCGCGCACGCGCCGGAAGACCACACGGTGCCCATGCACTAGATTCTCGGCTTCCCACCCGGGTTCCACAGCCCTGCGGGGCGGGAGCAAGGCGGCGCCGGAAGGTGGGGGAGAGGGACGAGACCGGACCGGAAGCAGTGCCCCGCAGACCCTCTGACTTCGGCAGTTGCTCCCGAATATATGGTCTCCAGCTATCTCTCGCCCGGCTTTACCTGGGGCCAGGCCCGCGGTGGGGACTAGCTTCCACATGGGTCCGGACCATCCGTTCAAGGAGACCTGCGGCTGCGGCTGCGGCTGCGTCTGTGAAGTTGGTGGACGTGCGCGGTCACAGGCTTGAATGTGCGCGGGCCTGCAATCGTGCGCGCTCCCGGGATGCGCGGCGCCCTAGGAAACGGGGGATGGGCTGGAGTGCGAGATGGGCTCTCAGTCGCCACTTGGTGGTTATAAAAGGAACAGCGCACTCAGCCTTGAAATGTGCTGTGTTGATAAAAGGCTATTAAAGTATGTAGCCTTTCGAAGGGTTTAAAGAATACAAGATTATCTTCTTTTTTCTGATTATGAATGGAAGAAATTGTTTAAATTAGCGTCAAAGCGAGGTAAGAAAACTTGCAAGTTAAGGACAAAAAGTTACTTTTATGTAATTTCATGCATTTTCGATTTCTTAAACTACAGCCATTCCTTTGGATATATATGCACTTATATGTATATATATACATATATATATAATTTTTGTGTTTTTTAAGATTTATTTATATATACTTACGTATACAAGAACTGGGGTCTAGGCCAGGGGTGTGTGTGTGTGTGTGTGTGTCTGTGTGTGAGTGTGAGAGGATTCACCAGAGACAGTGTGGAGCAGAAAAGACAGATCTGAGACACATTGCTGAGGGGGGAGCAGCGGGCTAAACCGGAGAGGTCTGCTCGGCTTGGCCAAGTGTGTTAGCTCCCAGGCCTGGGATAAACTCTTGCCCCAAAGGCTGGTATAGTGCTTAGATTTTAACCCTTGCATCACTAGGGAGGGCCCTTCTTTGGATAGGATTTCATTCCAAGTAAGCTTACCATTTTTACTCTTTTCTAAGCTTCAAGTTCTAGCTTCTCAATTTCACAAAGCTACACTGTCATTTAACCACCAGCTTAATAATAAGAAGTCTATTCCTTTCTATTTTCACATGTTCCAAACTAATCCAGGCTCTTCTTAATACTTCAGGAGTCTCCCAATCTACCATCCACCTTTTACACTAATCCATTCTCCATACTACAAAGTAAATACTTAAGAGCAATCTTCTGATGATACAATTTCTGGTTTTCAAAGCATTCTGCTATGAGAAGGGGGAAATGTCATTTTAAAAGACTGATTTAACAGACTTTTATGAACATAGATATAAAAATCTAAAATAGAAAATTAGCAAATTGAATCAGGTGGTATATAGAAAGGATAATCATAAGTAAGTGAGGTTTATTATGAAGTGCAAGGCTGATGAGTTTATTATAGAAGTGAAAGGCTGAATGTAAGTGGGGGGCTTAATGGAATTTACCAGAATATTAGAAAAAAGGGGAAAAAATCATATAATCATCTTGGTACTTGCCGGAAATTTATTTGATAAAATACAACATGCCATCATGGTGGGAAGAAAAGCCTCTTGGAAAATTAAGGAACATCCTTGATCTGTAAAGGACATCTGTTAAAAACAAAACAAAACAAACAAACAAAAAAAACCATAGTTTTCTTTATTGACCAATTATTGACCGTTTCCCTCTTGACACCAAGAATGAAAGAACTTAGTTGCTTTACTATTTGCATTTCAGTGTATTAGATGCATTAGTCGCCTTAATAAAGGCGAAAAAGAAAAGGAAGGCATAAAACAGAAATGAAGAGTGCCACTGTAATTCATGAATAATGCACCGGTGTACATCAAAACTGAAAGAATCTTTTGGCAAACTTTGAAATAATAAGTGAATTTAATAAGGTCACTGGATACAATGTATATGAAATGTGAGTATGTATCTTTGTACAAGAAAATAGGAAAAGACAGATGGTAACCCCCTTATAGCTGTTAACTCCTGCATTTGTTTATTGTCTTCTTTACCCACTAGCACTTAAATTCTATGACAGTAACATCTACTGGTTATTGCCATATCCTTTGTGCTCTATCTGGCATATAAGCGTGTTTGTTAAGTGCACTTATTGATAACTAAAAACATCATCCATTGACTGAAAAAATAACTTCTTATGTGTCTTTATTGTTTTGTCTTTACATGGAAATATAGCAGTATATGTGTGTGTATGGTTAGCCTGTGCATTAGAATTAATTGAGGCATCAGTGGATTAATGGAATCAAATGAACTGTTGGACTATAACTTATTTTTTTTAATTGACAGATAAAGAACACCAAAGTGCAAAGTATAAGACAACTTTATAGAATGAGAACAAATAAGCCTATGTAATGGGGTCATGGGTTATTCTCCCTTCCAGAATTCATTCAAAAAGCTAATTAATGATCCTACTTTGAAAATCCAAGTCTCAACAATCATCTAAAATGTGTAAATTAGATGAGGTACTCAAACAGCAGAAATACGTAAGAGCTGATATTTTACAGAGAGACATATCTAGCTATTATTTTATCTTAACAGCATTTCACAATGACCTTCTTAATACCACACCATGTGGCCTATACTAATTCTGCCAAATCTAATTTATTTGTAACATCACAGATTGTTGGAACTACAAGTGATTTTAGAAATAATACACACCAACTCCTGATTTTATGCATGAGAAATAAAAAGCTGATAAGTTTATTTGCCCAGTAGTACAAAGTCAGTATGGAGCAGAGAAGACAAGAATAGAACAAGTTGCTTCTCAATGCAGCTTTCTCTGGGTCCCGTTCGTTAGCTGCAACCGGCACCCAGTCCAACACTACCCTTGGCAAGCACTTTCCCCTGAAGGCCAGGAATGAAGGCTGCTTTGAAAACTAGGAAGGGAGAAAGGGAGGAAAGACCCAGGAAACATCCAATTTTTGCTCCCTTTTCTCAGATTCAAACTAGTATTTTAAGGATGTTACTGGTCACACATCTATACCTACCTCCAAAAGTAGAAGTGATTCTCTTTCAAGGGAAGTCCTACTAGTCTTCAGTAGCAAGACAAGCCAATTAAAGAATTTCCAGTCACTTGGTGTGCTCTCCAAGACAATGCTAAGTAACACTTGCCATTTCTAAACGACTTGATTATTATTGGCAGTTAGGTATGAAGAACTAATGTGATTTTAGGGCTGGATGCTGACCTGCTGAAGTTTGCAGATCATTGGGGAAACGATTGAAAAACAGGATCTCCTGCAACTGCAGAAAAACTCTCCACAAAGACTGAAGAAAAATAATTTTGTAATTGAATAAACATAAACCAGAATCACAAGTATCTGCTAAAGAGATTGTGAGGGCAGAAATATAGCCATTTTATTTAGCCAAACAGATATAACCCATTCCATACATGTTCTCAAGATGAACAGTAACTAGGGCCTCTCTGGGGGCACTGGGGTTAAAGAGCACTGTCAAGCTATTGCCAGCCACAGCAGCAAGAATTTGATCCCTGGCCATGGAGCTAACCCACATGGCATGGCAGATCTTTCTTGATTTGCCTGCTGCTCCTCTTAGCAGTGAATTTCAGTAGATCTGTCTGTTCTGCTCTCCACATCGTCTAGTGAATCCTCTCACACCCCCACCTCTGGCCTCCACCCCAGTTCGTGTATGGGTAACTAAGTAAATCTTGAAAAAAAAAAAAAAACAACAAACAAACAGTAGTGCTCTGGTAAGAGAACTTGACAGCACTGCTTGTCACACATACTCTATCCTAAATTCCCTCAGTGATTGGGGTGACCATCTGTGTTAGGTAATCGATTTTATGCAAAGGAAAAATACTTCTCATATCTCTGTTACAGGAGGCAGTTCTGCCAATTAGTGGCCCACCAAGTTAGATTCTGATTCTCCAGTAGAAATCAGAAGGGGTGCTTCTTTGATGATGATATTTCAAAGATATGGGCCCCTGGTCCTTGAGAAAGCTATGACCAGCTCCTAAAGCTAGAAAAAGAAAGATTTAACTTTTAAAATAAAGAGTTGAATACATTTCAAGGGACCGATAGAAAACTTGTTATTACAAGTTTTCTAATGTAAATAAATGTTCCCTCCATAATCTGGTGGCTCATAAATAGCAGAAATTTACTGTTCATGGTTATCAAAGTTGCAGTAAGGGAAGACCATGGGAGTCATGGCAGGTTTTGGTAAAGGGATACTAAGAACTTCTTACAGAAGTGGACTTGGGATAGTTTAGGGGAGGCCCAAGGAAGTGTAAATTCACTCTAGATGGTATCAGAAAGTATGGCGAAGTCTATGAAGGAGAATCGCTGTAACATATATAATAAGGGAAACTAGAATGAGTAAAGTTGTACTTTGTAAGAAACTCACTTATTTTATCCAAAAGACAGGTTGGTAAGCATTTGTAGCTAACAAACTTGTTTTTGTCCATCCTTAGACAAAATTATGGAGTTTACTTGCTTTGCCTCACCTGACTGATCATGCTCTCTATATAACGTTGTCTAAGGAAGCTATTTTGTAAGATAGTTTGTCACACAGAAGAGTAGTACGTTGTACCTGTGTGTGCCAGGCCAAGTCCTGTATGTCCAGGGGCACTTCTCCCGTCTTTCTCCACCCACTCCTCCTCCCTCTCTTAGGTCACCTTATCATTTGCCTGAACTTGGGATTTCAAAGACATGCATCCTTTCAAAACCACGTTAATCCAGAATTAGGTATCAATATTTACATTTTACAAGGAGGAAAGAAAAAGGAACCGATTTATGCAGTGTGTCAGTTGGTACATTTCACTAATGTAGAGAAGGATAAACCAAGGGCCTGGCTTTGCTTTATTTATTCCTTTGAACAACAGCAAGAGCACGAAGTTCAGAGCCGCACTGACTATAGGCAACAGGGGGCGCTGTCTCCTTCAAAAAGTGAAAGCCGCCCCCCAAACTGCAACATTTATGCGATTTTCAGCTTTAGGGAAAATAAGGGTCCAATTTTTATGTAAGATATGTTATTTTGAAGATACACAATTCAGCGCCATACCAATCACTAATTTAAACATATACTTAAGGAATGAACGTAAATTACTTTTTTAAAAGTTTAAAAATTCGGTGGGCAGTATGGATCTGTCGCAAGTTTCTACAATCTACAAACTTCAAATCTTTTTTTCAGGAGTAGTGGCTCTTCATTCGCACTGGGGCACGGACCACCATTCTCCGCCTAGAAAACACCTGGGGACCAAGGGAAAGGTAGTAAAAGACACATGCGGGAGGGGACGAGGCAGAGCCCAGAGACTCATCGGAAGTCCAGGGTCACGGGGCTTGGCGGCTTCCAGGTTCCTCCCACTCCGGCCATTCTCCCCCGCCCCCCCCGCCTTATTTCCTAAGCTCTCCACAAGATTCCCCCTTCCCCCCACTCTTTTCCCCCGCCCCGGCCCGCCCTCGCTCCCCGCCCTGTCTCCAGGAACTTTGTTATTTATGGCCTACCCCCTGCGACTGAGAGTTCGCAGACTAAATTCCGGAGGCCCAAT